TAGGAAGGGAAGAGATATAAATGGTTCCAGGAAGAATATTTGGCAATTAACTCTTAATTTGGTATTTGCAAGGGCTATGGGCCCTCGTGGCACAATGGTTAAAGCAGTTGGCTGCTAAGTGGAATGTTAGCAGTTCAAATCCACTGAATTCTATGTAGGATGAAGATGAGATTGTTTGTCTCCTTAAAGATTCCAGACATGGAAACCTGATGGGGCTGTCCAACTCTTTCCTACAGGTTTTCTGTGTGTCTGAATCTACTTGATGGCAAAGGGTTGGGCTTTCCATTTTTGTTCAACTACTCAGAGATGTCTAGGAAGAAGGTCTGGTCACCTGCTTCTGCAAGGTTATGGCCTTGACAATGAGTTGCTCTTATATACATGGGCTCCTTCTGCACTGGAATTGATGTGACTGCAATTGGCCTCGGTTTGGCTTATTGGAAAAAGAGCAGTGAGATGGCTCATGTCCTGGGCAGTGGGGCAGTTGAGAAGGGGAGAATGGAGGTTGTAAATGGTGGGCTCTTTAAAAAGAAAGAACAATATTCCTTGGGAAACAAGTGAACTAGACCAATCTCTGTGATCTGGACTCAAGCCACACACTGATATTTTAAAAACGGGTTCCTTGTGTGGAATTATGAACACTGTGCCAGCCTCGGGGAGGAGGGGAGGATGCCCTGTCCATAGGTCTTGGATCTTTGTGGAACCTGAGATGTATTAGGAATTATTATTGTGATTAAGATTTAATTAAAAATTAAGCTTATCATTGACAGATTGTAAAATCATAACTACAAATGTGTGGGATGTATGAACTTCCTCAGAATTAAAAAAGATATTAAAACCCTCTGAAATGTTTTCTCATTGAAGTATGCCAGTGCTTGTCGAGTAACTGCAGTCTTGCACCAAATTCTGAGCAGTGAAAAAGATTTCAAGGAGGAAGAATGGAAGGCGTGACTGGAATGCTCTGGGCAAAGCAAACTGGGAGGCTTGTCTTTAGGGCTCCGAAGGCAGTTACATAATCTGGTGACAATTTGGGGATTAAGAGTGAAGGGGTGGAGTCTAGCTTGTTAATCAGGATATAGCCAATGAGGCCTCTGTGTGGGCATGGCCTTCTCCTGAGGATTCTGGGAATCCTGTAATTCCTCCTTGGAAGTGGGAGAATCTGAGTCTCTCTCTCTGTCTCTCTGTCTCTCGGCTCTCCCCCTGTGAAACATCCCTTTGGAGAAGACGCATAGAGAAAGGCTGATGAAGCCACACCTCTGGAGCGGGAGAAGCCACAAGAAGGTCCCTGCCAGTGCTGGCATGCTTACAATGCCACTGGCTCCACAAGACTTCCTACCCACTGGCCTGTGATCTTCCTGCATTCGGTGTCAATGCATGTGTTTTGTGAGTCTGAAGAGGACTTTATGGACTAGTATCAGATATACGGGCTGATATCACACTTACGGACTTGATCTGGACTAGGATGGCTTATTTTCTCAATATTCAACTGTTCTTGTATATAAAGCTCTTTCTATACACGAGTGTCTAAGGATTTGTTTCTCTGGTCTACTCAGACTAAAACAGTCCCAACTCCCTTTCCTTTCCTCCTGACTGGTAAACATAAATATCCTGTAAAATATGCAGCACATTTTTCCCTCCTCGATTTTCCTCAGACCTTTGTTTCCAGGAAAGTGTGCTTACCTCCATCACACTGAATCAGGCCCCGCAAACACTGGGAACATAAGCCATTGCCACTAACCATCATCCTGCATCCCTGGTGGACATCTTTAATCCATCACACTATCATATCCCATTGAGCTGTGAGGCAGCCTCATCATTCTTCCTAATGGGGAACTCTCGACAGTCACTGCCACACGTTGGGACTCGGCACAAGAGGCAAACCCATTAGGTCACCTTGCTTGTGAGAGGCATTGATTTATACTGTCTACGGAACCACTTCTAGGGTCATTTGCATTTTAACCCAAATCCAAGCTCACTCCCATCTAGTCGATTCTGACTCAGTGCGACTCTATAGGATGGAGCAGACCTGTTTCTGGGTGTTTCCAAGGTGGTGAATCTGTATGGAAGTGGAAAGCCTCATCTACTCCCCTGGAGCAACTGGTAGTTTCCAACTGCTGACGCGGCAGTTAGCAGTCCAGTGCACAACAGAGCTCATCCTCAAAGGACAGAGTTCACTGTTGACTGACAGGTAAGAGCTTGGCACTTCTCAGCATCCTTCAATTCAAGCCACAAAGACCCATGCCTAGACCAAAACCGAAACCAAAACCGAAGCATGGCGGACTGCAGCACATGGTGTAGCCGCTATACACCAGGGCTACTATCCCTAGACCAGTAAACATTGAATAATTTGCATCAATCTATTGTCTTGAAAGCTACTTGTGAAGGGAAAATGTACGGAAACAGGGCTGCTACTCTCAGACGTGGAAAGAACGAGAGCCCTTTACTGATTGTGCCGAGGAGCACCGAAAGGGACAGCTGTCCAGGAATTTTTCAGATCCTATGTCTATGTCACACAGTGGCTATCACAACAACATGGCCTCATGGACTGCCATTGTCAAGGAGCTAGGGCATCCGTAATATTTCTCGAAATCAGAACACTAATAGAAGATGTGCAAAGGGCTGCAGCTCAACAAAGTGGCCCTTAAGAAGACTATATTCTATATTTTCACAAAGCATTTCCAAGTTTTATTATAAATTGCCTTCTTTTAAAGTATATACGTAAGACCTGACATATTGTAGCAGTTCGCTTACCCTAAGCCTACTATTTTGATAAAAATGATAAAATCTCCAGCACTATCATCCTCTCACTCTCCTGCAAGCTATTTAATAGAATGAGATGCTGTGAAAAGATCTTTTCAGATTTCTTTAGGCAGCTCATATGTTAACAGCAAATGTCCTGTGGTTTTGGTGTCAGACAGTCTGTTCCCAGGCCGGTAGATAGCCTTTCTTTATGAGACCAGTGGCCTCTAAGAAATGCAAAAGCTGTAGATGTCCCTAGGTTGACTCTAAAGAGGGATTAGGATTACTCAGGAAGAAAAACGATGGAGACTGAAGGACTGGTAGCAAGAGCATGCATTCTGGGTTCTTGCTAGGCAATCTATCTAGCTCCTGACCTTAGAGTAGTCATTTAATTTTTTCAGAGATTACCTTTATCTCTTTAAGATGGGAATGGTCAGAGCAACAATTAACTAGATTATCCTGATGATTAAATAGGGGGAATCTCTGTAAAACATTCATATGTGATACATTAAATAGTTCATTTTCATGTTTTTGCATCTAAATGTTATGGGTAATAAATCTGTTTTCATTAACATATTCATTTATCCATCCACTTGCTTATTTGTCCGTTGAATAGTTATCATAGTCATGCTCTAATAAAATAATCAATAAAACTTAGTCATGATGCTTCTCTTGGGAAAAAAACCCTCTGGGTTTGGTGAAGGAAGAAAGGATTTACATAAAGTATGACAAATACTAGCAGGAAGTGAATGTTACAGGGATAGCAGTGACAAGCATTTCTAGAATGCTTGCTAAGAAGCTATTGGTATTGTAGTCCAGCTGGATTCTACTAGTAGAACCCCAAGAGCCAACAGAAAAATTCATTCTAGATGAACAAGATTGTAAGGAGGAAGTAGAGATCTCATTGGGAATTAGAAGACTGACTCTTTTTCTTCTTCTTTTTTTAATTAAAAAAATTATAAACTCTCCCCCACTCTTGTCTCCCAAGAAAATGCCCCTCAGAAAGAGGTAGCAGCCTATGGTTAGCCCCTAAAAAATATTTCACATTATGGACTACCCTGTGTTTTGCAAGTGGTTATGCACTTGGCTGCTAACCAAAAGGTTGTTGGTTCAAAGGTTTCCAGGGGTATTTCAGAAGAAAAGCTTGGGAATCTACTTGTGAGAGATCACAGACATTCAAAGTCCTTTGGAGCACAGTTCTACTCCGCTCTTCACTGAAGCATATCAGTTGCCATGGGCCAGAATCTACTTGATTTTAACTCATTGGTACGTTTACACTATAAAAGATAGTTATCCTTTTTTAAAAAATGGAGATTATATACATATCCACACAGTATCAGAGAAAATGACCAGTTTTCCAAAATATATCAATAAGATAGTTGAGTCTTGAGAGAAAAATCTAAAACCAGCAAGGGATAAAGACATTCAGATTCTCAAAAGCACTATAGATCAAACAAATTGGCTAGAAATGAATATGATAATTCTGAAAAACTCTGTTGATTATGGAAAGGGACATGAAATCAATGGCAAAGTGATCTAAAAAATGGATGCAAACCTTGGGTCACACTTCTATGAAATTGGAAAAAATGAGTAGGTTATAATGAAATATTAATACGCATCTTATGGGAATTTTGAGAATGTAAAATTGGACACATCATTCATTATTAGAAGAGATGAGTCATTATTTTATCTACACTCATGAAAGTTTACTAAATGAGCATATATGCTCTCCTTTGTTACCTCCGTGAGAATACGAGGACATGTGGTGGATTTGTGTCTGAGTAGAGGGAATTAGTTAATGTAGTAGAAAGAGTGGTTCAGGATTAAATTGTGGGCCACTGTAGATGCCTGGTGAAGCAGCAGGAAGATGAACTTTGATTTGCTGTCATGGGACGTCAGTCACTGTTGGGTAATAGGTGATTACCAGGAGCAACATTTTAGCTAGGCTCATACTGCTGTAAACTTCTGAAGAAAGCAGGGGTACTGAGTGCAAATACATAGTGCTACACCTGAAGAGGGGTTCCAAGGGTGTGGTCCTGGGGATAACATGGATTGGTATGAGAAATATCTGCATAGATTTTTATGTCATTCTCCTTGCTTGAAAAGTAAGGAGAAATTCCATTGATGTTTGATATTTTTGAAAGAATGAACCATCTCGAAATATACATTGTTAACGAGAAGTGAATGAAGTACCGAATTAATTTCCAGAGCCTAGGGTTTTATGGAAAAGGGCCTCAACAAATATTTCTTATTCGATGGATTCATTAAAGGTAATACATGTTTAGGCTGAAGGGAATGGAGAAATTTAAAAAGGAACAAGTTCTCACTGTTACTAAATGCTAACTTTTTACTCTCTTAGATATTTGAGGGAAGAAGAAAACATAGAATCAAAAATTGAGGAGGTAGCTATCAACAGCTAGGACTCATCCATGCTTTTAAAGGGCCGACCATAGAGCATCACAATATCTTATCTACCATACGCTATGTTGGCCTACTACTTTGAGAACACTTTTCCATCTGTCTAATCATCATGCGCTGTGTTCTTTAAGATCTTATTCTGTGCTTTAGTCTTTCTGGTGGTGAGTAGTCTCCATTACTCTGCACCTTGTATACAGTAGTCAACTTCACTTTTTTTTTCTCATTAGTATAGATGCAGGTGATACTTACAAAGTAATTAATCAATTAAACATAGAAATGGATGAAATAATTTGATTATAGGGTGAATAACTAGCTGAAGGTGTTACTTTTCACCATAACACTGTGGAAATGTTAGCTGGATGGAAATTCAAGTTCTAGAGATTCAATTTCTATCACTACAGGTGGTAGAAAGAATTAAAGCCATCTGATTTTCTTCACCAACTTGCACTGACCAAGAGAAAAGGTGTGAAAACCTGTGTAGCCTTGGAAACAGAATGTGAAGCTAGATATTCAAAGGCTGGGCTTAACCTGAGATTAAAGCACAGAATTAGCCTGTGAGATGGTTGATGGAATATAAATATCTGTATGTGGAGAAAAAAGGGAAGCAACATTTTGATCTCATGGATAAAAACAATCTTTGAAAATTCTGCTTAGAATGCTAATAAAAATATTCTTAACACATTTGAAAACATGCAAATGTATTCTGCCTGGTTTCAGGGGCATCTCATCAACTAAATATGTATTCTGTACAATAAACTAATTATAATTTTTCTGAAGATAATACATTTTCAGAAACTAGTCACTTAACATTGGAGCTTATGAATTTGGTAGTCAGGTAAATGTGTTCTAATAGCAGGTCAGTGAATATAAACATCTGGCACTAATATTTGAAAAAAATGCACTTACAGGATGTTTGAACTAAAAACCAGAATTAACTAATGGAACCATGATGGCATATTAGAATGACTGTGGGAGCTTTCAAACAGTCAGATCACGTGGCCACGCCCAACATGAATTAAATCAAAATCTCTGAGGAGTTTGACCCAAACATGAGTACTAATTAAAACCCCCCAGTAGAAACCAATATGGAATCCAGAATGACAATCAGAGACCTAAAAAGTTTTACTCAAATTACTAATGTGGGGATGTTTTGCTTAATGATTTACTTTTCACACCGTTTGGTTTATTAAAAAATTAAATAAAATCATCTTGCTCTTTCAAATGAGCACAATTAATATAAAGATTTCCCAGTTCCCACAAGTTTGGAACAATGAACACCCAATTCTACTAGTGGAGATTATTTGTGGCATCAAAAGTCATGTTAAAATTGTCAATGATCTTGATGAAAAACAAATTTAGTAAATATGTCACCCATACAAACAGAAACTTTACTAATTAGTACTTACCAAACCAGGTAGGAAGTAAAGACTAGGAAAATCATGATGAGAAAACCACCTCCAGAAACGCCATAAACCCACATTTTTACTCGGCCATCTGTTTAAAACAGAAAATAACCAGCTTAGGGTACCAAAGTCTACAGCGTTTTAATAAGTAGCGCAATGCCCGGCCATTCCAAATTAACCGTTCGTTCTGGACTCAAAATGAGACTCGGCATCTTCTTAGCCAATTGCACCTGTGCTGCAGATGTTAATGATGCTCTCACGCACTTGGTCATGTGCACATCTCATCTGGCGTTGGCCACGTTCTTCCCTGGAACATCATCAGACTTTGGTTCCCTAATACAAATTAGTTCTGTGAAAAAAACAGGCTGTAAATTATTATTCCGTTGTCTATCCTGACTAGTTACGACCCTCTAGGACAGGTAGGAATGCCCTGTGGTGTTTTCTGGGTTGCAAATCTTTCCAGAGTCAGGCTGCCTGCCTTTCTCTCAGGAAGCCTCTGGCGGGTTTGAGTCAGTCATCACCTGGGAGTTTAACCACTGCGCCACCAGGTTTCCCTGTATTATAGGGTGCCCCTTTTCCAGGAGCTTTTGCCGTTACAAACAGTTTATGTTACTCTTTATTCTCTAACATATCAATCCTAAAAAACACAAAACAAAAAAACCTAGGTTGTTCAAGTTGCTCTAAAATATTTATTTAGCTGGATGCTTTATTACTCATCTGAATGCTGAAATTTGTAAAAATGGCCCCATGCATAAATGAAAATTGCCATAAGTGATAGCTATGAAATGTCAAAAAAAGCGATAATGTAAAATGTCAGACAAGTTTTTTCAATAGTATCAAACACTGATAACTATTATTTCATAAAGTCTTATACATTGGCTGAATGTTTTATATTTGTGTGCATGGGTACATAGTAATATATATGTAACAGAAAAGGATTTCAACACATTTTGGCATCATAAAATGAACCGAGATGAAAATTAGAATTAAGAAACAATTTTCACATGCAAAGGCAACTACTAGATCACCCGGTGGTGGGTGGGTTCTATTTCCTGAATGGGGTCAAGCATAGCAACACTGGTGAGGCCGGGCCGGGCCTGGGCAATGCTGTGTGTAGAGACGCTATGAGAAGAGGGGCTCAAAAGGGGGAAGACCTCAGCCAGGTGGATTGACACAGTGACTGCCACCTGGGCTCAGATGCAAGCCCGTTTGTGACGACGCTACAGGATTGGGTGGTGTTGTGTTTGTTGCACATAAGGTCGTCATGTGTTGGAACAGGGTCAACAGCACCTAACAACAACAACAACAACAACAACGTGTTCCTGAATGATGTAGGGCAAGCAAACCATAGGACCAAATCAGCTAGCTAATTTGCATTATTTGGGATTTGGCACTTTCTGGAGTTAAGCAAACGCGTGTTGGTGGTGCAGTAAGTTAAGCTTTGGGGTGGTGACTTAAAGGCCAGCCATTCCCCGGCTGCTCTGAAGAAGAAAGCTGTGGTTGTCTGCTTCTTAAAGATGCCTAGCCTCAGAAACCCTGTGGCCCACCCTCTTCTGTCTGAGAGAGCCAATGTGAGTAGGGGTCTATTCAACAGTAGTGGGGGAGGATAGCAGTGGGTTTATGCAAATATTCTAACCCATTCTGTGACTTTTTCTATGTAAGAATTAACTTGATTGAATGTTTTTTTTAATATAAATTATAGAAAATCGAGTTGTTTTTGGCAAGGTAATGCTTTTGCTCTATTTCATGTAAGCATATGAAATGGACTGACAGAAAACAGTAAACAGAATGGACTGACAAAGGCAAAGGCTTAACATCCCAACGGAATTGTTTTGCTTCCTGAAAGCTATGCATACACAGAAGGTTCATTATACTACATGAATGTAATTAATTGCAGGACCAAAATACACGTATCAGCATCTTAGTCTAAAGCCTTCCACCAGATGAAAAACAATCAAAATATATTGTAAACAAGTCTTGTTTTGAATAAAAGCACAATTACTTTCAATTGCATTATAGCTACCTATTAGAGTTTTTGCTTACAGGGCACCTTCAGACCTCAATCAGGTTTTAGAGGGAAGTATCAGTACAGTAACAGTATTTTCTATGGTCATCAACCTTTTAGTGAAGCTTTGAATTTGATCTCTTTGAAGTACTCAAGATGAAATTCCCTATGTTGGGTTTTTCATTAGCAAAAAAAAAGGAAATGGTCTTTTTGCGGGAGAACATACCTTATTTTTCCTTACCCTTAATGTCTCATAGAGTTGGAAAATTTGAGAGGATCGATACAATGTTTTAAAAGACCCCATGTAAAGGCATGTGGCTCAGTTCATTAATTTATTCACGTGGCTCATTCACAAAGATTATTATAATTTTTAAAGTAGAATTTTAATGGCATAATTTACATGAAGAATATTTAACTATTAGAGAAGGAATGCATGTCCAACTACGTCTCCTGCTGCCTTTCTCAGAACCAACCACAGCTACCCATTTCCAGTGGATCCTTTGTCTTCCTCTGCAAGTGTGAGTGCTTGTGTGCACTCTCATGCACACACACACACACACACACACACACACACACACGCATACACCCACACTCATAGGCACTCACACACACACATGCACACAAGCATATATGCACACACATGCACAGTCACACCCCCACACACGCTCACCCACAGGCACACACTCACATAAACACACATGCACACTCATATACATATCCACACACATGCACACATGCACACTCACGCACACACAAACAGAAATACACATTTTCAAAAGGACAGCAAAGGTCCATATTAATTCACTTAACAATGTATGTTGGAAATCTTTCCATGCTTAGTTGATAAAGATGACTGAATTAACCAGTAGCCATGAAGTTGATTCAGACTCATGGTGACTCCATGCATCTCAGAGTTGGCTGGTTTTCAGAGACTGAAAGTTCAAAAGCAGGTTGCCGGGCCATTCTTCCAAGGTGTCTCTGCGTGAACTGAAACCTCTAAGATTTGGGTTAGCAGCAGCCAAATACCTTAACTGTATCATCAAGCAAACCAGTTTCTAATGATATGTCTGTCTCATTATCTTTAATATCTTTTGATACCAATGCACAGTTGTGCCATATTTTCTTTTCATCAGTTTATATTTTAGACCTTTAAGTTGTTAGCAGTCATTTGCTGTATATGAACTGTTCATAGAATGAATGTCATGTACATACTTCTTTCAGTAGATATATAATCTATTTGTATGATAAATTCCCAGAATATGTATGTTAGGGAAAACTAAATGTACATTACAACTCCTAGAGATATTGCTTCTTTGTCTTCCCAAGAGATTGCTCCATTTACATCAGGGAGAACCGAAGGAAAGTTATTGATTTTGCCTTAGACTACACACACACATACACACACACACACACACACACATACATACACACACACACTATGGATATCCACATACACAACATTACTTCAGCTGGTAGATAGATCCTCAGAATCCATCTATGGATTAAAGGCTAAGCACCTTCTTTATGGATCTCACTTCCGTTGGACCTCACACGAATTCTCTTCTTGGAATAAGAGCATACAAACTTTTGAAATTGATACTTTTTATCATTTCACTAGTATTCTCAAACCTGGTAGGTTCTGTAAAAATTTCTGTACATTCCATAAGAATCAGTATTAATTTTTACTTTCATAACAACTGCCTAAACAAATTCAAATTAACCTAAGCGAACTTTTCCTCTGAGATAATTATCACCTACAAGATATCTTCAAATGATAATATATTGGTTACTTAATCCATTGCCAACTAGACTTACCTTGAGTTACCCTCAACTATGCAGGACAACATTTTACATGGAAAGGGAATAACTATTACATAATACTCAAATTTGGGAAGTCTTTTCTAGACAACCTTGCTTCTTCCTCTCCATCCTTGTCCTTCCTCTCTGCATTGTGAGCAGTGATCAAAATTTGAAATCCTCCTGTAAGAAGACTGATACTTCTTCTAATGGAAACATACCTGGTTCAAGGGGTTGGAGAGACCATCCTTTAAAAATATCATGTATTTTTGAATTCACGGGTCTATTTTTTCCAGAAAGGTTTTTAACATCAGCTTTTTTATCCTCTGAGCCAGGTACTTTCATGCAGTAATCCAGGAAGCCATTTGATCTCATTATCTCGGTATATCCTTTCTCACAACCACAGACTCCACCCTACAGCATTAAAAAAATAGTTTTAAGTTATGCAGATGCAAAAGAACAATTTAAGTGGAGGAATAACAATGTGCACAAAATACCGTGGCAATTTAGGATTTGCAGCAACTCATTTTCCAATAAGATGAAAATCCAATAAATTCATCTTTCTGAATTCAAGTCACCCCTTATATAAATTGTCTGATATGTTGTTGACAATTCTGACACCTTATAAATATGAAATCACAATTCTTCCTGGATAGAGTGCATTAGTCACATCCTTTTCTCTCTGATAGAAACGTTTAAGGCATTTTTAATGTAATAAATACATACTTAATTCTTCCAATATATCGAGCCTTGTTTGGTGTTACAGAAATACAGATGAGAGTGCATGGTCTTCACTCTAAATGAGCTCACACTCTCGTTGGTGTGAGAGAAAGAACACTGCAGACCCCGTTCGTGCTAAGTCAGCATTTCCGGGCAGCATGCATTCTCTGACATCCCTGGCCCTGCTTCCTTAGAGCAACTATTATCTACACCATCCACTCAGATCAAATCCACTAGCCAACTATGCTGTTTTGTTGCTTTCAAACTAGCTTGGGTGTCACAAAAGAACTTAAGTCTGTGTCAATTGTACGCTTCCTCCTTTTAGAACCACCCAGACAATGGTGGGTAAGGAATCTGGAGGAGTTTTAAGGCTGTGAGCCTTCCCTTTTTCCCTCTCCTTTCTTTTAAATTTAAATATTATTTATGAAAAGAAAATGTCCCATTTTGCTTCTGGAATACGACTCATACAAAGAAAACCATACCATACATAGTTGTAGTTAGACAGCTCATCTTACCAAAACAGTGATAGAATCCCATTAACCAACATTCCCTGACATGTGGTTCCTGTTTTTTGTTTTTTTAAAATTATTTTCCTACCTTCCCTCCCACCTTTGCTTCCTCCCCGTTTCCTTCTTTCTGTCCCCCTTGTCCTTGTAAGTCTTCAAAATCCTTTGGTGTGAAAACTACTTTAATTTTTTCCTGTATAATATATCATAAACTATTTATCTTTATGAGATTGACTGAAGTTGCTGAACACAATGCCCTCCAATTTTGTCCACATCATGAGGTATCTGACCGATTTGTCACTGTATTTTTTAAGTATGCATACTATTCCATTCTGGGTATATACCAGTTTGCTTATCTATTCCTCTATGGATGGGTTTTAGGTTGCTTCCAAATTTTTGGTATTATACAAATTGCTGCAGTAAACATAGGTGTGCAGTTACCTGGTTGCTTTGTTCTTGATTTCTTTACAGTATATACCATCTAGAAAGATTACAAGATCATAAGGTATTTGTTTTTGCAATTTCTAAAAGAAGTTCCATATCGCTTTCCATAGTGGTTAAACAATTCTGCAATCCACCCATCAATGTATTAGAATTCCAATCGCTCCATATTCTCCCCAGAATTTATTATTTTGTTAAGGGTGTAGGTGTGAGGTAGTATAGAATTGTTATTTGAATTTGTGTTTCTCTTACGGCTAATGAATGTGAACATTTTTATACGGTTGCTGGCTGCCTGGATGTCATCATTAGTAAACTGTCTATTCATGTGCCCAATTTTTATTGAGTTATTTGTATTCTTCTTATTAAAATGTTGTAGTTTTCTATAGATGCTTGAAATTAGCCCTTTATTTGACAGATCATTGCCAAATATTTTTGCCTAGTCTCTGGGTTCTCTTCTTTCTCTTTTGATGAAGTCTTGTGGTGTACATAAATAAATGCCATAATTTTAGATGGTCCCTTTGCTGGTCTGGGTAAACTAGAGAAACAAATTCACAGACACTCATATGCGTATAAGAAAGAACTTTATATAAAGAGTAATTGCACATTAAGAAAACATTCCAACCCAGTCCAGATTAAGTCCAGAAGTCTGATATTAGTCCTTATGTCCAATACTAACCTATAAAGTCCTCTTCAGACTCACGCAGCACATGCAATGACACCTAATGCAGGAAGATAGAGCACAGGCCAGTGGGAGGAAATTCTTGTGGAATTCCTGTGGCAGTGGAAGCATCTCAGCATTGGCAGGGCTCCTTCAGTTCCAGAGCTCTAGCATAGCTCCATGTGTCCTGTCTGCAGGAATGTCTCACAGGGAATGAGCATGTGTCTTGGCTCCAGCAAGCTATTTATCTCCTTAGCGCCTCCAAATGAGGTCATCAAGCTGTGACTTGATTGACAAGCTAAACTCCAAACTTTCACTCTTAAGTCTCAAATTGACAACAGATTATGGAACTACCACAGCGCCAGTCCTCTATTTTGCTTCTGTATTATGGGCATTTTTTATTATGTTTGGTAGTGTACTTATGCCTTGTGTTAAAGCTCTTAAGTTTTCCCCTAGTATTTTATTGATGATTTTTTATGGATCTAGGGTTTATACTTAGATCTTTAATCCATCTTGAGTTCATTTTTATATACAGTGTGAGGTACAAGTCCTATTTTATTCATTTACAGGTAGAGATCCATTTTTTTTAAAGTACCATTTATTGAAAAGGCTATCTCTTCTCTACTTAATATGTTTTAGCCCTTTATAAAAAAAAATCAGGAGTCTGTAGGTATTGGATTTTATTTCTTGGTTCTCTGTTCTAATCCATTAATGTACATGTCTAGCATTATCTCAATACCAAGCTGTATTGATTACCGTGCCTGTGTAATATACGTTGGTATCTGGGAGGTATAAGCCTCCTACTTTGTTTTTGTCTTTTTAATAGTGTTTAGTTTATCCTGGGCTTCTTTCTATTCCATGTAAAATTGGTGATTAGTTTTTCCATTTCTGGAATTTATATCAGAATGGCATTGAATTTATAGAATGTTTTCTGTAATATCAACATTCTCTCTATATTAGGCCTTCCTAATATGAACATGGGGCATTCTTCCATCAGCCACATCCTTTTTTCTCTTGTAGAAATGTTAAAAGTATGTTAATGATACTCAGCTCTACCACCGATGTTATAGATTCCTGTTCACTAATCCCAACCTGTCCTTCATGCTGAGGTCTGCTGCTGCCCAGCTGCTGGATCCCTCTACCACTGCCTACAATTGGCCTCTACTCCCTCTCCACTCATAAGCCCAGTTATGCACGCAAGAGTCAGAACAGGGTCTAGAGAGAAAAAGGATGCAGAAAGAAAGACTTAATCAAAGTCACACATCCAAGAAAATGAAGCCAAATACCACTGAAAATGAATCGTTCCGTATATTAAGCTGTGTCACTTTGCATCACACTCCTAGTTAGTATTGTGACAAGGTGTCTTTCATCTTTGTCTGTGGATCCATGTTCATGTATAAGGAGCTTTGTCAAGATGCTGACTATGAGGTAGGATAGGTAAGAATTCTATTTTGTCTCTGGAATTGAAATGGATAATAATTGTCCTTCCTCCAACAAACAATAGACAGTAGAAAAAAATCAGGGGTGGGGTGGGGGTGGGAACGGGTGTGGGTGGCAGTAGGTGGGGCTGGAAAGGCTTATGAATCACTTTGACTTTACTTAATTAGGATTGCATGTTCATTTTTTTAAAAATTTGTAACTTAGGTAAGAGTTTGCATTTCAGATCACTAACTTTAATCTAAAGTATTGCTCCAACGCCCCAATGGCTTACCCCTGATTCCCCTCCCACCTCCTGTGGACCACCATCATACACTTCAATCAAGTCAGCACTCATCAACTCTCCAGCCCAGTGGTCTCAGCCTTCCTCATGCCATGACCTTTTAATACAGTTCCTCATGTTGTGGTGACCCCCAACTGTAAGTTACTTTCATTGCTACTTCATAACTAATTTTGCTACTGTTATGAATTGGGTGACCCCTGTGAAAAGGTCATTTGACCCCCCAAAAGGGTCATGACACACAGGTTGAGAACCACTTTAGCCAATTGCTTTATTCTCCCTCCTTCATCCTTTCCAGGAGCACTGATGGTAACACACTATTGTAATCATCTGACTCAAACTCTACCATGACATCAATTCAGATTCATAGTTGTTCTGTAGGGCAGAGATGAACTGTCCCCGTGGGTTTCTGAGATGGTAGAAAGCCTTATCTTCCTGATAGTTTTGTTGCTGACCTTACAGGTAACAGCCCAACGCATAACCACTACTTCACCATGGTACATTTATGTTACTAAACTAAATGAACACATATGAACATGCATTTAACAATACCTTTCAAACGAGTTTTGAAGTATGGAAATTTAAAAATAGAAGATATGAATTAACTAAAACAATATATTGGTAAGTAAACCAGTAACTTAATCACCTGAAAGACTGATCTGGCTCCAGAGAGTCTTACAGTGAAAAAAGCAAAAACAAGAAAACAGCAACCTGCTTTCCTGAACACTTAGCCCTGAAGAGGAATTTTTACCTTCAAATGCCTCTAGGTGGTATCGCAGGTGCACAGAATTGCTATTTGGGTTGTGGCAGACTGAAGAACTTTCACCAGCACATGTATAATACAGCCATGAAAATACTTGTAGAAGGTTCTAACACGTGACTCACCTGAGTGCAGTAGGAGAAAGGCTTTCTGCAGGCTGGGCTACACTGCCGAACAGCAGCTGGGCGGGCCTGGGGGGAGCAGCCTCCTAGGAAGGTGATGCCGTAATCAGTTGCAGATTTCTCGATGAAAAGTGTGTTTTCACTTACACTGCTTTTTCCCTCCCTTCTCGGATGCAGCCTGGTTTGTAGCAATATTGTTTTTTTAATTCGCTGCCAACAGGGTTGCCTAATACCGGCTGACATGTTCCCCAGACCTATTGTTTGAGATGGGAGACTCTTCTAACAGAGGATGCTACAATGGAGTGTTTATGCCTACTCATAAGTAATATAACTATATCCTATGGTTCTATTTGAGAGCATAGAATATGCGTGTCAAGATCAGTTGAAAAACTGATTAAATATCAATGTAAATTCAAGGGCAGAAAACATCGTACTCATTCTGTAAATATTTGTCTACAACTCCTGAACACATAGGCACCAGAGCTGACCCAATAATCAAATATCAAAAGAATGCCACTAATCAGTTCATAGGATCACAGTATCAAACAGATTGGATGTGAATAACATTCTTTACATAAAGCAGAATACACACACACAGTCACACACATTTTTAAGAGCCACAATATACTGGGAACAGTATGTATAGGGGCTCAGTAAACTTTTTTGAGTGAACACATGGGAATGCATGTTCCAATGATGTGAAGAGCAGTAAACCCCTACTCCTGCTTTCTTTATTAGAAATAAGAGAGGCATACGGAGCATCTTAGGGTCAGTTAGGTTAGGAATGTAAATTAGTATGGTAGGGAAGTATTGAACCTATATTTACATAGCATTGGCTACACTGACAAAGATTCGGTAAATATTCATCTCCTGGTTTCATTTATTTTAGGCATGTTATCAGGAGGGATAAAAAAGCACACTGTGCTTGGCAAAGTAGAAGGTCAATGAAAAAGGCAACAATGGCTCAAACACAACAATTGTGAGAAAGGCGCAAAATCTCACAGTGTTTTTTTCTGTTGTACATAGAGTTGCTGTGAGTCCGAACCAAACTCCACAGCACCTAACAACAAACCACCATATAAATGTAGAAGACAGTTAAGCATGTATTCCCTCTGGTATAAAGCAATTGCATTTTAACTGTTCTCTTGAAAATGAACTATGTGGGCCGGCCCAAATCCCAACTATGTGGACAGCTGCCCCTCCCCCTAGAAGAATTTACTTCAGAGGAGAGCACTGAAGCTACAGCTCAGAGAGACGGACATGTGTGATTGGAGCATATGGGAGCAAATGAAGGGGGAGGAAGAGAGAGTGGAGCACATCCTGGCCCACCGAGTCTTGAGGATGATATTCCTGCGCAGAGCAGCCAGTGCCCAGAGAGGACCATACGGCTGGGCCCACTTTGAGACAGAATGTCCCTCACTGACCCACGGCCCTATGGGGGACAACACTGGAGACACAGTGTGGGAATTGCCCCAATCTGACCCCACCAAACTGAGGCAAAACACTAAGGCATTCAACAGAACAGCAAGGGGAGCAGAGCAAGGAAAGGAAGTCCCGAGGGAATACTAAAAATAGACTTTGGGGCCAGGGCATGGAACCCCATCTGACTGAACCAGAAAACACTCTTAAAGGCCAACAAACAGACCTTAAACTATTTACAGGTTTATCGTTTTTGTTTTTTTTCAAATTGTTTTTTGTTCTTTTGTTGCTTTGTGTTGCTCAGTCTTGTGTTGTGCATATTATTATCTCTGCAGGACTATCTAGATAAGATTGACAGGATAAACAATCTGGAGAAGAAAACAACTGGACCTATGGTTCCTGGGGGATATGGGAGGGAAGGAGGTGGGGTGGAAAGGAAGTGGTGTTAACAAACCCAGGGACAAGGGAACAACAAGTG